GCAAATTGGCTGGCACATCGTAGGAGCTTAATAAATGTGTGTTGACTTGACATGAACAGCTTTTCTTTTTTAAATATATAGTAAGTCCAACCTGTAGCTTTCAAGGCTGTCCTGCTTCCATTATTCCTTTGGACCTTCCTTCTACACATTTAAAAAAATGCTTCAATGACCTTCTTTCCTATGTTTATCTCCCTCCTCCTCACCTCTCTCCATGGGAAAAAAAAAAAAAACCCTTGTAAAAAATATGCTCAATCAAGTAAAACAAATTCCCATGTTGGCCATGTTTAAAAACTGTGTCTTATTCTGCATCTTGAGTCCATCACCTCTTTGTCAAGAGGTTGATACTACGCATGCTTCACCAACAGTTTTCTAGAATTGACTGGTCATTGCATTGATTGATGTTCAAGTCTACTGATGTTGTTTTTCTTTATAACGTTGACTGTGTCCATTGTTCTCCAGGCTCTTCTCATTTCCTGATGCACCAGTACACAGATGAAAAGCCATTGTAGTGAGTGGGTTAGTAAGTCAATTAGAGAGGTATAAAAGGAATGCCTTGACACAAGGAGGGCCAAGTTGGGAAAACTGAATGAGTTTTTACTAAACCAATCAGCACAGTACTGTGATTTTTCCCTAGCTCCATTCAGTTGCATATTGAGTGTGGAGGATGGTGGGAGCAAGAGTTTGGCAAGTCATGATCTGAGGTAGGACAAAGGGGCAAGGGATTTGTGTATAAAGGATGGTCTCAATTTGAATTGATTCCTTTTGGGTTTGAGGGGTTGAGATAGGGAAGGGAAAAGTGTGAAGCAAATGCGGAGATGATGACCTGGGGACAAACTGAGGGGTGGAGGGATTGTACAATCGTGGTGAGGGCAAAGAACAGGAGTAAGGGTAGTAAGGCGTGGGGAAAGATATAATGATAAACGACTATGACCTGATGAGAGTTTCACACTTGATATGACCTGAGTAGATTGGAGAATTGGGAAATGAGGGCATTTGAGAGTATATCAATATGTATGTTGAAGCATTCTAGTATGAGGACAGTAGTTGAGGTAGAGAGAAAGGCTGTCAGGCACTGGACTCACTGAGGAAGAGAGTTGGTAGGTAACACATAACAGAAGCTTGATTGGGTGACAATCACGGAATCTGGGTCAATCTTTTATGGGTTCGGTGTTCTTGGGAGATGGGTCTGGAAGCTCATTGTGTGCATAAATTGCTTTGAAAATGTCTATAAGCACATAGTCCCTAAGAGTAGGGGTAAGAGTTTACTTATCATCTAAGAAGAAAGTCATGTGCATTCCCAGAGCCTAACATGAAAGCACCTGCTGCTATTTCAAGTCATTTAGAGCATGTCATCTCCAAAGACCGTGGTGATTTTAGATCCTGAAGCTAAAGTCAGTCACTTGTGAGCCAATTCTCCAGTTCTCTTCGTTTTTAGTTTTATTTGAAAAAAATTAACAGAAATCTGTTTTCCCTCCACCGTCCCTTTTCATTGGATGAAAAGGAAAACAAATTCTTTCTAACAAATAAGAAGAGTCAACCAAAATAAATTCCCTCATTGGCCCTGTCCACAGACAAGACAACTCACTGTGCACTGATACTGCCGTCTACTTAGGCTACTCGGCTTCCTTTGCCCAATCTTCATCCACGTCACACCCATTAGGCATGCAGGTACCCAAAACGTTCTATATAAATATCTCTTCAACTGGCTTCACCTGAATCTCGGTCCCAGTGCAGTCTTGACTTTGTGATCATATGTAAGTTTCCTGAGGTTTGAGATAGATGGTAGTTTTGTCCTTGTATTCCAGGGTCTAGTGCAGCATCTGCCTCATACAAGGCATTACATCAATAAACCAACAAGCATTTATTATGTATCTACCGCATACCAGGAACTGTGTCACATGCTAGGTACAGTGACAAAAATGAAAGTCCCTCCTTGTCCTCAAGGAAGTGACATTCTAATGACAGAGGTAATATAGAAAAAGGAGTTAGAAAGTAGGTGTGGGAATAAAGTGGGGGAGGTATCCAAGTAGACGGATGGTGGACAGCAGAGTCAGATGCAGAGCTGGGAGAGAAATGAAAGATGGCTGACCTGGGCCCTTCCATAAAAGGGGTGTGAAGGTAGAACAGGGTGTGGGGAAAAGGGGGCTGCAAGGACAGTGGGGTCGTCCAGGATGAGAAGGCAGCTAAGACACATGGTGGTAAAATCCAGAGAGGCAGAGGCAGGGGAGTAAAGACAGATGGCTGACCTGGGCCCTCCTCAAAAGGAGGGAGATGGGGGAACTGTGGAATGGTGTGGGATAGAACAAGGAGGAAAGTACGGCCGGATTGTAAAGAGAGGAAGGAAGAGTCAAGTATAAAGAGACTAGAGAAATAAAGGGGGGGGGCAGGTCCTAAAGATCTTTAAATGTCTATTGAAGTGAATTAATGGAGGGGAGATGGGGGGGGAGTGGTGGGGTGGAAATGTGATTTCTAGTTGTCTCAATTTCTTTTCTAGGTAATATTCAAGCAGTAAGCTTCCCCTCTGTCCTAATATCCCTTCCTTTTATTTTGATCTTATTTTCATTCTTCTGTTCCCTCCTTTATCTCAATGTTCAACTCAACTCTTTGAGCAAGCCCCTGCTCTGTGCCTTGTACAGCACTGTTGGGGAGTCTTGGTCCCCAACAGATTCATAATCAAACTGGGAAGACAAGGCATGCAGGCATGACCCTGAATTGGATCCAACCCCAAAGTAACATCATGAAGAGTAAGGGCATGGGAAATGGATTGAACCTGTAGGCAATGGACCTGCGGGGCCTAGGCAAGTCACTTTGGTTTTCTGCATGTTGAGGATGGACTTGATCTGTAGGGTCCCTTATAGCTAGAGGCAGGAAAATCTGAGCTCCTCTTTTCACTGACCTAGGGCAGGTCATTTAATGTCTGCCTCAGTTTCCTCATCTGCAGAATGTAGATCCCCTCCTCCAGGTTTGTATATCTGCAAAGCACTTTGTAAACCTTGAAAGTGCTACATAAATACTTGTTATTGTTATCCATGATCCTATGACTTTTTATAGGGTGATTACTAAATTGGCAGACTAGGGGAAATGCTACGGGGTCCTTAGGTTTCTGCAAAGCATTTGAAATAAATCTCCTCGAGCTACTCTTATAGAAAAGGTGGGGAGAAATAGTGCGGACGGTAGTACAAGTAAGTAGATCTTGAACTGGTTAAAAAGCAAGGTCAGAGAAGTTATAAATGGTTTGTCAGTCTGGGAGGATTCCTCAGTGTAATGCCTCTGGGGATGGGTGTGGCCTTGGGCTATTTGATACTTTTTGTAGACGACTCAAACGAAGGCATAGGTGGTGTCTGTCAAATCTGTAGATGGCACAAAGGTAGAATGGATAGCTATCACACTGGTGGAGGATAATCAAGAAGGGATCCCGACCGGACAGAACGTGGTGCTCCACTGAAACTTAGAAAGTATAAAGTCAGCCATCTTGAACTTGGCATTTTTTAGAAAACTCAAAGGGAAGGAGGCGTGACTCAACAGAAATCTGGCTGAAAAGATTTGTGGGCTTTGAAAGCTATATTAGTCAACTATGTGATATGGCAACCATACAGGCAACAAGATGAGTCAGCTTCCAGAAATAAAGTAATGGTTAGATGGTTCTGCAGCCCACTGCTTGGGGCAGACCACACATGTAGGACTGAGTTCAGCTGTGGGCAGCCCATTTTAGGAAAGTCACTGATAACCTGGAAGATGTCCAGAGGGCAACCAGGCTGGTGAAAGGCCTCACAGTCGATCAATAAAGGGAACTGAGAATGTTTAGTCTAGAGAAAACTTAGCAGGAACATGAGAGCAGTCTTCAAATATTTAAAAGCCGTCATGGAGGAGAGGAACTAACTTTATTCTGCGAGACCCCAGAGGCCAGAACCAGGATCAATGGGAAGTTGTAAAGGGTCAACTTTAGGTTTAATGTACGAGGTATCTGAACAATTAAATGTCTCCACAAGCGGAACACGTGGACGACTTACAAGGTAGCACTACCCAGTGTGGGCTGAGTGACCTTAACATGTTGGGTGTGGTACAAATGACCCTACTCTCTAGATCAGGGGCTCTTGACCTTTTTGGTCATGGACTTTTCCTCCCTCATTTTTTGGCAGTGAGGTGAAGTTTTTGGACCCTTTTTCCAAATGTTTTTAAATGCATAAAACACATAGTATCACTAAGGAAACCAATGATATCCAAAGTTATCAATATATGTATATTTTTAAAAGTTAATGGACCCGGGTGAAAAGCCCCTGCTCTAAATCCTTCATGAGACACAAGCAACAAATCACTTCCTCATGGGAACTTATTTACACATTTCATTCCAAAAAAATCAATGTATTTTAAAGAGTGGAAATAACTGCAAAACCATTCTTCAGTTAAGTAAAAGGAACCCTCTCTGTGACAGAAAAAAACAAAACAAAACAAAACAAACACCTTCAATGGAGTATTTCAATACTCTGAAAAGCCTAGCTCAAGGTATGAATTTGACTTACCTTTCATTTTCACCTTCTCTTCTTACTCTTGGGAAGCTTTAGCCCCTTTGCTCATTAGACTTTTATAGCACCGCTTACTCCAAAAAGCCTCTCCTGATCTTCCCCAGTTAGGGCTCTTTCCTCTCTCCCATCTCTCTCCTATTTCCATATCTGTGTATAAATATATTTCCCCAATACAATGTAAAGTCTTTAAAGGTAGGGACTGTGGAAAGGACAGTAAAGTGTTAATACTTGTTGACATGGATGCAAATTCTTCTTCCTTATTAAATAAAAGCAAACTCCCTAATTCAACAGAATGGGAGGGGGGAAAAAACCTCCTACATTATTTCAACACTGAGCAGCTTATTATGAGGTGTGGATGTAGCTTACCTTTGATTATTGATCTCCTTCTTTGAGAACTTTTAATTTCAAAAAAGAAACCAGATGAACTTATAGACCTCAAAACCAGCAAGAAAACGGTATGGTTGAAGGCTTCAGTGATCCATTTTAAAAAAATTATCTTTATTCAGGTTTCAGATTCAGCACATGTATCAAAGACTAATCAACACAAAGAAGCAAAAAAAGACATTAATTGGAAATCTTACATCTCTCTAAACTCTGACCAAGCAAGAATGTCAAGATTGCCACTGCATCTCCAAATCTACTCAAGCTGTGGGGCCAAACCATGGTGAATCACTAACATTGGGCACTGAGATGTTGCGATGAGAAGAAAAAGCTCTTTTCCTTGGTGAATTCCTTCCACTTCTCCAGTTCACTTTTATATGACTTCGTGAGTACCAAAGGAGACTTGGGGTTGACCTGATTAAATAATATTCTGAGGAATCAGTTCTTTAGTTGCCGTTCGTGACACTTTTTCTTTTTTTTTAAGGGGGGGGTGGTTTGGCCAGGATAAAGTTCAGATCGAGAAGTACCATACAAACTAGTTCACAAGGCAGACTAAATTGAGAACTACATTTGAGCAGTAACCAGAGTTAAGGCATGAATGAACACGCAGACACAGACACCGCACACGCACACACACACACAGCTCCCACACCCTTAGGAATAGCGGATACTCTCCATCCCCTAACAAGAGGCAGTCCAGACTTGGCAGCTCATCACTACAAAAACTGCCAAGCACCTGGGAAAACGCTCCCCATGATTTTAGGCTGACAGCTGTATGTGGTGTTTCATTTTGTTGTTGTTGTTGTTGTAAAAAAAAAAAAAAAAACTCCCTTAATTTGTTATAATGGCTCTTGAGCACGGAACTCACGTAGCAGCTTCAATGACTGGCTCGCTAATCATTTGGAAATAAACTATCATTTTGCTATGTACTTCTTTGGCAGTCCTCGTTACAACGTTTTCAATGTTGGTCACCTACAAGACAACTACTGGCCAGAAGATCAAGCCACACAGAGATTTCTGTACTGCTAAACAAAAATAGTGAGATCTCAAAGCACAAATTACTCTTCCATTTAAATAGTGAGATCTCAAAGCACAAATTACTCTTCCATTCTGGTGTCTGAGGCTTCCTTTCCTAGCAAGGCTTCCAGTGGGAAAAATCTCGTATCTACTGGGGCAAGAAGGGAGCAACACAGAATCTCTAATCTCTTACAGTTGTGTAACATTTAGTGATAACTGACACAACTATTTTGGTCCTACTGTAGAAAGGCCAATCAATCACGGGGGGCTAGCACTTGGTGTCAAAGTCACATTCTGGTCACACATGCATTCCATGATTGCTGGTAATTATCTTCTGAGCTCATCGCTTTAAAACTCAAACTCAACAGGATGGCAAGGGGCATGAAAACTTATAAAAATTTCTACTTTCTGCCTAGCCACCGGCATTCTGCAAAGGGAGATAACGCAGAACCCTGACACCCACTAGGCCACTTCTCTGACATCTATAAAGATACGATTACATCCCTTTATCTAATTGCGATGGCTACACTCTCAGTGTGACGAGTACCAAGGATCTGCTCACATATGCCACAGGTTGCCTGTAGGAAAACTAGCTCTATGGGTACCACGACAGACTTTCCAACAGGTACTGCAGTTAATTCACAGCATCAGCTGAAGGTGTGATAAGTGCAGGAGGGGCACCCAGGAAGAGCAGTAGCTGGGATGCCAAGGAGGGGAGTGATGAGGCAAAGGGCAGGAAAGACAAAAAGTTCTCTTCCTCTCTCTGGCTCAGCATGCCTGATCCCCTGAGTTCCAATGGACCCAACCAATGACCGCCTAGGATGGTTAGTCCTGGGCAGCTACAGGGTTGATACTGTAACATGACACAGCGTGGCCAGAGAGTGCTTCTCGAGACCATTGCATCACACACTAATTAGCAGTGTTTGTCCTACAGATGCCGTACACACGGTGTGGGGGTGGGGGGGAGCGAGCTACATTTACAGTGGGTAATTCTAGTTTTCAGTTTTGGAACAAAGTGGCTTTTGCTTTTGTGAAAATCTGAATTTTTCAAGAATTTTGCCTGTAATTCACATGCATCTCTTACACACTTCTCTTTCCACCCAAGAGAATCACCATTTGTTCATCCCATCCACTGTCTTGAAAAGCTCCGACTTTAGTGCTTTCAATGCGGTAAATGAATTTTCTGGGCAATGAGTTCTTAAAGGCAAGCTATGTTCTCTAGCAGCGCTGCCATTTATAATATTCTTCCTAAGTCTATCTCTGAGAATCCCTTGGGCAGTTACAGAAGTAATTTCACTTACTGACTCAATTAGCTGGAAGGCGGGGGAGGGGATGTAGCATAACCCACAAGGAAGTTACACGGTTTGAGAGGTCACAACAGCAGACCGAGATGTCAGCCCTGGAGCTGCTGTGAACCCGAATGGAGACTTGGTCGCTTAATTCATGTGATCTTTCTTGGCATTGTTGTTTTAAGAAAACACAATGACAATGTAAAATACACCCACATTATTAAATATAAAATGTATATAGCACACACACATGATTTTTTCTGAAATGCTTAGAAGTCAGAACCATGTTTCCTTGTTTTGGCATGGAAACAGGAAGGGAAGAAAAATCTTATGGTGGTTTTTACCTTTCTGGAGTTTACTCACTGAGCACTCTACTCCAGTAAGTTTCATTAGACTTTTAAATAGGTATTCAAAGGCAAAAAATGAAAGTTTACGTGACTGCACAATATTTAATATCTACAGTGTTCCTTTTTTTAGGCATGTGTTCAATAAAAGGGGGCATTCTAGATGGTTCGGTCACAAAACATGAATTCTTAAGAAAAATGACTGATAAATTATTTTTCAGTTCTTTGATTATATCCAACAGAATAGATACACATTCTCATCATAAAATATACATTCTCTAGTAAGTAAGGTTTCTGTCCACGGCATATCAAAATATGCAAACACAGGTGGGGAAGATCACTTCACTATCATCAAAGTACAAAAACAGAAACTGTTGCCGAACCCAAAGGAGCATTTCGCTAGGGTGAAGGAAGAGCGCCTGCCTTCTGTTTTATGGAGCCGTGAAGCCAAACCACGCACTTGTGCTGCTAACGGAGGGTCTGAGAGGACTGTCCCTGGGATCCAGTCTTTCCACACACACTGCACCAGTTCCTGTCCAGTGAGTGTCCCATAGCGTCTCCCCCATAGGGACTGCTAACTCACTTCGCTCCTTTTCCTTCTACCAAGCAACATGGTATCTCTTGGTGACTAGGCGGATATTCCTATAATGACTGTTCTCAATCACGGTCTCTAGGAGGAATCTGCTTCTTGAGGATACTTCTTCCCACTGTGTTTTAGGAAATCGCCTGGTGGTGATGGTGGCAGGGCAGGGGAAGGGGCGCATGGTGTGGGGGACAGGAAGGGAAATCTGGTGCTCTCCACGGTCTTACAACATGGCCTCCCATGATGCCATAGTTGGTAGCTTCTCTGACTTGGTCCCCCAAGACATGGGGGTGGGTGGGAATGGGGGAAGATGACTTGTACAGAACTGAGCTGGAAATAACGGTATGGTCAGCTTACAGCAATACAGGGAAGTGGACATGAACAATCAAGGAAATAGCCCCACCTTGAGCTTCAGGAATCTTACGTTCGGTGTGCCTGGACAAGTGATAATTACCCAACAATATATTATACCCACTGGCTTATGACACTGTATCAGTGGAAAAGCACGGTGGGCAAGTATGGATACCAAACAGCGGACTCGAAAAAAGGTCTATCAATGGGCGCATCCTGGGCGCTGATGAAGCTGACATTCAAATTTTTCCTTTCAGATGCTTGGTAGACACCATGGTTCTTATAAATTTACTAAGATATGGGCCATTGAGCCCGCCATCTTTATGCTAATGGCCATGGGGGCAGGGGGACAGGGAAGACAAACAGGTCTCCCTTTTATTTTACCAACCTAAAAGCCAGGAGGAAAAAAAAAAAGCGCTCTAGAGCTGAGCAAATGGCGCATTGCCAAGTTACCAAATATCAAGGAGCAAATGTTTCAGCCAGAAAATAAACCTACATGTAAATTCAAGTAAACACTGATGGAAAAAGGTTGTTCTAGGGGGTTAGTGTCACAGACCCACAAGGCTGGCTGCATTTTGGACAAACATTTACAACGCCATTAATAGTGAAGTCTAGAGACCCCCAGGTGCCAGGGAAGCTTCTGGCTTTTTGTCAACGGCTCCATCTCCTGAGTCCCCACCTTCGATACAGCCCACCTGCTTGAGCGCATGCACTAGGGCTGTGAGGGGGGGTGCACTGGATGTGGCGAGGCAGCGGACGGGAGGGACGACTGCATGGGTGGTGGGGGTGGAGGTGGCGGTGGCTGGACGGGAGTCTGTGTGTTCGGAGATGGCGGAGGCGTGGGGCGTTTAAATTTGTCCGGACTGTTGCTTCTCCGGGGTGAAGGCCTCTGCAGAATGGAGAGCAAAAATCCAGGTTAGCCGAGAGGAAGACTGGGGGATGCTGGGCAGGGCTTAAGGAATCATCGAGTCCCATCCCCTCTCTGGACAGAAAAGTGTCTACCTGGCACACAGTAGGCACTTAATAAATGCTTGTGGATGGAGGCCCGGGGATGCGCTCTAAGTTACCCAAGAGGAGGGTCTTCTTCCCAAACCAGGGCACATTTCTCATACTCTCTAAGGGCATTCTTTAAGTTGCTCCAAGGCAGGGGCTGACGGCAAATGAGAAACTATCCCAAGGGTCAACTGGCTCAGGTGGGACACTAGAGAAGTCCCCTAGACGGACCTTCTGATTCTGAACTACAAACTCCCCAAAGCGTGGCTCAGGGCACCTCAGGGCTCCCACTTCCCCTTCTGGCAGTCGGTGATGCCAAAACTTTTCACAATAACATTAAGATGTTTGCATTTCTGATATGGTAAATATTGATCTACAAAAGCAGAGACAGAAGCTCTTGGGGGGCAGGGGGTGCAATAATTTTTAAGAATGTAAAGGGTTCTTAAAACCAAAAAGTCTCAGAACCGCTGGAGCAGTGGACCTTGAAACTCTTCAAGTCACAGCCAGAAGACCCTTTGTCAGGGAAGCTGGACAAGGAAGTCTTCCTTAGGCTTGGCCTGGAGTGGGCGGTCTCAGACGTCCTCCAGACTCATCACTGGACATGCTTCCTTCTTGACTAAGACCGTTCCTTTGCCAAGACAGAGGCTTGACCAGGCGGCCTCTCACGGCCCCTCCTTGTCTAAGCCGCGTGATCGGGGGAAGGGGGGTTTGAGTTACATGCATGCATACGTGTGTTTTAGAAACTATTACAAAAGTTCTATGAGCAAACAGTAGCTCTTTTTGAGACCACCCAGAAATACATATACTCATGGAGAACACACTGCCCTATAATTGTCAACAAAAAATTCCTAACAGGGAAATAAACCATGAACATTAATATTGTAAAACCAGAAATGGTGCCCAATTGTGTCCAAGATGTCCACATTCCTACAGCTAGTTCATTTCCTTGTGAACATAAAGCAAGGCTGGACCTCAAACATCTCTGTTCACTGGCAGAAGGACATAAAGTGAACAGTTTAGAAAGGTAATTTACTTTACAATGAAGGTGCTAACTAGAAAAGAAAATTAATTTTTCTTGAGAATGAGAGAAAAGTGGCAGAAGTTAGTTTGGGGGCAAGAAATCAAGGATTCTAAGTAGTAAGTCTATAGATGAATAGCAGTGAATTTAGTCCTGTCCCCACCCCCTGCCTCCTGCCCCAATTTGGTTTGAGAGACCCAGTGTTTACTGAACTGAGTAATGACACAGCAAAAAGAGTCCTGGGGTTGGAATCAAAAGACCTGGGTTCAAATCTTGGCTCTGGTTCTTATTTCCTGTGTGACCCTGAGCAAGTTATTTCATCTCTCTGGGCCTCAGTTTCCTCATTTGTAAAAGGAGGGCCCCGGAGCCCACAGCTTCTAAAGCCCCTCCCAGCTCAAGCTGTATGATCCCATTCCATTTGCCAAGGACACAGAGACAAAGGAATTCTCATGGGTCACCCTAAAGTTAGAGAGGGGCTGGGAAAGGAAGCGGTAATGAGGTCACTGAAAAACGTCCTTGGTTGGAGCACCTCCAAGATGCGGCTGCAACAGGGAACAACTCATTTCAGAAAGACGCAAGGAAGGCTGACAGCTTGAAGGCACAAGCAATGAAAAACGTCAGAAATTATGGGGAGCTAGCAACCTCTCTTTAAACTGAGGAAGGCACAGGTCAACATCCCAGGAGCAGAAAGTAAAGGGACCCCATCCTTTGTTAATGCATCTCTGCCTTCACCCCCCTAAGGCAGCTACATGGGGGAAGCACAATCTCTTTTTTATTAATTACTAACATTTTTCCTGGGAATCACTTTTTTTTTTCTTTTTTTGGGAAAAAGTGTTAATTTGACCATTTCAGAAGTCAGCATCAAGTTGACGTCGAAGACAACAGGCTAAAAGCGGGTTGAGATGAATTCACAAATGATTGATCTGTGCTGGGTTGGCCAGACCTTGGGACAAAAGGCTCTCAGGCCCGATACTCACTGTAATACCATGGGAAGCTCCCATGTGCTGCACGTGGAGTCCAGGGGAGTTGTAATAAGACACTCCAGCTCGGGTCAGCGACGTTGGGGGTGTGAAGCCAACCGTGTGACTCGTGTATGACAGACCTGAGATGAAACACAGAAAAAGGACATAAGTATCGCTCCTGATGCCAACGACAGCCCTGCCCACTTAGCCAGCACCCCCCTCACCCCTAAATCTGCAAGAGCTGTAAGGACAAAAGTCACCAAAGAAACCTCAGAGCATGAAAACGGTCAGGGAAACAGAAGATATGAAGGTGACGGAGCAGAAGAAAGGAGAGATGGCAAGGACTGTGTGAAAGTCAAGCCCCATGAGTCCTAAAGCTGAGGTCAGGAAAGCAGTATGAAACCAAAAAACAAGGAAAATGAAGAGAAGATGAAGGGAGAAGTTAGCAACGCTAACAGAGTCAGCGTCTGTACCGAGGAGGGATGGAGAGGATACCACTGGCAAGGAACACAAGCAGGAAACATAACTCAAGAGTCAAAAATTGGGGTTGGGGGGGGAGTGGAGGAGCTCAACACCCCCCCCCCCACAGTTCTAGAAGGAATCACTGATGATGTCAATGGGATCATAAAAGGAGAAAAACCTAAACAAAACCCTGGAGAGCTGCCACCGTGACCCTCAGTTTCGTCACTTATAAAGTGGAAGATAGTACTTGAACCAACATGATAAAAGAGTTTAAACCTCATAAAGTGAGCCATCACTAAGGATGGTGGCTGGTCTGCTGACTTCATTATCTTGGGAAACTCCTAGGCAAAGAAACCTATTTTACCATGAGCCAAAGGAATTCCCCGGCTCATGCATAACCCTTGGTGACCACAGGACAGTCCTGAGACTCAAGCACAATCTATCTCCTGAAGGGTCTTTTTTTTTTCCCCTCCTTATTGAATTTTAGGGTTCAAACCCTAAAACTCCAAATCCCCTTGATGCTTTGAAGACAGGCTGGCTTAGCCTTCTCTTTGGCACATCAGATCCTCCCAGTGGCTGTGGAAGAGAGCTTCAGAAGCATGGGCATTCTCTCTGGCCTCAGATATGTTCTCCTCTTCTCCAGAAGTCAACAGCAGATGCCAGGCCAGGAAACCAAACTGGTATGAGGTCTGATGCCTCTGGGATAGGGGCTTACATCAGTATGGAAGTGCTCACCTTTGGCATCCATTTTCACCTTTTCTTTTGGCTTATATATCATGGTGTTGGCAAATGCATTTGGAATAATGATTGATCCACACCTTCATGAATGATAGCAGTGAAGGTTTCACACACAGAATACGATCCTCTGAATCTGTGCAAATATATTCTTTCCTGCCATTTGAATATAAGCTGATAGGAATATTAGCATAAGATTTCCTACCCAGGGCTGGGAACTGATCTGACGTATCACAAACACAACCTTATAGGTAGAGAGCAGATTGGCTGGGAGGCCAGGTCATGCGTTGGATCGAGGCCATTAAAGCATCTTTGGATTCTCCAGAGTGTGGGGAGCTATTCGATGAGGACAGAACATCAAGACTTTGCAGATAAAGTCCATTTCAACTACAGATCAAGGCCCTTCTGCAGAGGACAATGGCTGGGAGTGATCTGAGTACCTCAGCTCTACTTGCCATGGGTGGACACCAAACTCCAGAAGAGCACCACGATGTCTGTCCATGACAATGCTAATGAATATCAAACCTGGTGTAACTACTAATCAGTCCCACTGTTAGCCTCCAAACAATATTCTCCTTTGGAAATTAGAGTGCTTTGCCAGTTATAAACCTGAATGCCAGGGATCCAGAAATATTATAGCAACCTAAAACACTGGGTTAAACTGAGTAAGGTGAGATTTAATAAGGAAATGTAAGGCCTTATACTTAGATTCAAAAAATCAATTTCTAGAGTAAAAGAGCATTTATTTGGCTAGATAAAAGAGTTGGCGGTCTTCATGGACCCACAAGCTCAATGAGTCAACAAAGCAACACAGGAGCCAAAAAATCTAGAATAATTTTAGGTGACATTGAGAAAAGGAGTAAGGAGGTGATAATCCTGATATATTTTCTGTTGGACCATGTTGAGAATATTGTGTTCAAGTTTGTGTACCGCATTTTAGAAAAGACAATAATAATCAGTTGAAGAATGTTCAGAGGACAGCTGCCAGGATGGTGAATAATGCCACAGGAGGTTCAGAAAAAGGGCTAGGCTCTTTAGCCTAAAGAATACCGAAGGGAGATGGGGTAGCATTCTGCGACTATCTGAACAGATGTCACACAAAAAAGGCATCAGACGGATTTAAGGCAGAACAGTGCCTAGCATAAAGCAGGCACTTAATAAATGCTTATCTATTGCTACCTGCATGTAATGAGAGGAAATTTCAAAGGCAAATTTTAGTAGATGGAAAGCTTCCTTACAATTAGATTTATCTCCAAATGGAACGAATTGCTTGGGAAATGGATCTTTCCTCACTAAAGGTCTTTAAGAAAAGACAGGATAATCACTCATGATCCTGAATATATAGCTATTATCTATACTTTTAAAAATATTGTGAGTTCAGAAGAAAGCAGAATGTAAACCCTCCATTTCTAAGGAGGTCATCTTCATAAAAAATCTAGCCCCTAGTGATGACTATCTCAAAACTTGGCCGGGTTGATTCACAGATAACAGGCACACGGTCCATAACCCTGGGCCCTTCTGAGCCTGGCAGGATCCATCTGAGCTTGGGATCTGCTGATGTGGACCACAAAAACTCAGAGCGTCACCTCCACACCATGATGGAGGGAGTCACTAGGGAGGCACGGCTACAGTGTAGTATAGTAACTAAAGCTTCAACAAGGACTCAAGTTATTTAATGATAATAATAATTGGGCATTGTACGCACTGGGGCGCCCCTAAGCTGAAAACGAAGCAGCACTTAGGAATTCGATCACTGGGTGACAGTCCTTGACAGTCCTCCTGCCTGTGGGTGTGCCCCAGGACTCTGTCCTGGGATCTCTCCTCCATCCTCTCTCAGTCATCTCATCAGCTCCCACAGCTCTATTGCCATCTCTTGGCAGACAACTCCCAGATCTTTGTCAAGCCCCACTCTCCGGAACTCCATTCCCACGTCCACTGCTTCCCTGACACTTCCCATTCGGAGGTGCCCAAGGTCATCTCAAACTGAACAAGGTCATAACAGAACTGATCATCTTTCCTCCCAAATCTGCTTCCTTGTTTCCCTATTTCTGCCAAGGGCTCCACCACCCTTCTTATCACCCAGGTTTAAAGCCTGAGTCAGACTGGACTTTCGCTCTTCCCTCAATCCCACACATGTAATTGTGTACCAAGTCTTACTCACTGTCCCAGCACAGCCATAGCCTAGTTAAGTTCAGGCCCTCATCGCCAACTAGCCTATCATTAGATTCTCTGCTTCAAGTCTCTCACGATCCTGATCCATCCTCAGCAGAGCTTGCCTCAAGGGGAATTCTTAAAGTGTGGGCCCAACTGTCATCGCCCTACTCAAAAAAAGCTCCGGTGACTCCCTTGTCCTTTTGGACCCAACACAAACCCCACTGTTTGGCACCGCACGCCCTCCACAGTCTGGTGACAAGCCACCTTCACAGGCTTATTATACAATCATCCCTTCGCTTCAGACTCTAGCCAAACCATCAACTTACGGTTATACACGTACAAGACTCCATTTGCTACCTTTGCGCCCCATGCCTAGAACCCACTGCGACTCACTTTCACTTCTTGAGAATCCAAGCTCCAAAGCTTGACTCCTCCTAATGTGACCTGTTCCCTGACACCACTGCCAGCGGCTAGACCCCCTCCCTTGAAATTATTAAGCACTTTCTATTACTGTGCAGACAGAAGGTAAGCCCCTTGAGGGCTGCAACGGCTCACTGTCTTAGGACAGAACAGTGATCTAGTGCCAGAAGTCTCTCGTATCATTATTATTTTTCATCACAATAGGAAGTTCTACCCTAATGCCTGTGTGGCGGGGAGGTCATCTTAGCTTCTCAAAGGCTCTGTCAACAGAACATACGTCCTGGCAAGTTTCAACACCCTGAAAAGGCCTTTTATCCGTGTCACCCAATGAGACGACATAGAGGATAGGGTGTGGGTCTTCGAGTAAGAAAGACCTGGGTTCTAATCCAGACTTAGACATCAGCTGCATGACTTTGGACAAGTCACTCGACTTCCCTCAGATTTAATTCCCTGACCTGCAAAAAGTGGACGATCAGCCCCTACCTCACAAGGCTATTGAGAGAATCAAACTGCTTCCCAAATACTCTTTCCTTCTCTGGGTTTGTGTGATACCCTGTTCTCCTCCAGTCAGTCCAATTACACCTCAGGACACACTAACTTTGTGAAGTTACGCTAATTGTCAGTATTCCCTCAAGGCTCTGTCGGGGGCCCTCTTCTATTTTCTCTCTGCATTACTGTACTCTGTGAGATAATACTTGGGCTTAATTATCATCTCTATGCAAATGATCTTCAGATCTATAGAACCAGCCCCAGTCTCTCTTCTGAGTTCCAGTCTCACATATACAACTGCCTATTGGACATTTTAATCTGGATGTCCCATGGGTATTTAAACTCAGTCCAAAACAGAACTCATTCTGTTTCCCACAAAACCTTCCCTTCACCTGAATTTCCCTATACATGTGTACACACACACACACACACACACACACACACACACACAGGAACAATAATAATCACCTCTCCAATAAAGGGGAGAATTGATCCAAAAATCATGAGTAACAGTGGGAGTTCTCCCTCGAGGAGGCAGAAATAGGAGAATGGGGGGATCCCTTGGCATTCTGAAGCCAATGAAAGCACTTGGAAGGTGTGTGTTTGAGTTTAAAAAAAAAAAAAAAAGGCAGCACAAGAAACATGACCCATTTAATGTCAAATGTTTCTAAAACAAAACAAAAACCCCCGAGACCTGGGGGTTTTTCTAACACCACTCCACTAACAGGCAACTTGGGTTCGGATGTCAAGTCTCTGCATTTTGTTTTGAAATCTAACACGAGTCATGTGTATTTTGACCAATGTGTTATTTTTCTTTCAAATGGACTTGTTTCTTGTAAAGAAATTGTTTTGAATGTAAACCAAATATCTATCTTATTCGTAATTCCTTCTATTTGTTGAATAGAAAAAGTCATCTCTTCTCCACTACTGAAATAACTCTATTTTCTCATTTTTATTCCCACTATTTTTGAGGGTTTGAGTCTATCATCTAGCTGGAATACTAAGTCCATTTATCAAATTGCTAAGTTTTCCAAGTACCTCTGTTAAATAATTAATCCCTTCCTCAGTTTTTAATTTTTTCTATATTTACTAAACATTGATATTTTGTATATATTTGTAAAGCGCTTTGCAAACCTTAAAATGCTATATAAGTGCTATCATCATCCTCATTATTATTGTTATTATCTTTGGCTGGATGTCTACTATTCATATTGTATTCTACTTAGCTGTGTCTCCATTACAACTCTTTCTCTATTCTTTTGCCCTATCTCAGAATTGTATTGATGTTTTAAAATCTGGTAGCATTAGACCATCTTCATGCCTTTTAACACTCATCTAATCAACACACATTGACTAAACACTGTCTATGTGCCAGGCCCCCGAGATCCCAAGACAAAAACAAAGTCATTTCCACCCTGAAAAGCTTCTATATCACTCAAAGACAACTCTTCAGTCCATGAAGGTGAAATATGATGAACATAATTCTTCCAGAGGAAGCACAAATTAATAATCATTTGAAAGGATGCTTAAGCTCACGATCAACCAAAGATAAGCAAACTGAAACAACTTCACACATCAAGTTGACAAAAATAATTTAGATGCTGTTGAGTATGTGGCAAAATAGGTTTACTGAGAACATTATCAAAACAAGAAGAGCTGTCAGTTCAAAGATTTCCAAAGGAACATTACTTGTAATTGAAATAAATATCCAATGAGACCGGAATAGTTCAATAAACTGTGGTACATTAGTGCAAAGGAATAATATGATGCACTTTCAGAATGACAAATATGCTAAGGACGAGAAAGGAATCTAGAAAAAAACCCTCTTACTGCAAAGCAAGTGTCATTGGTAGTACTGTTTTTTAAGTTAATAATATATATTTTTTAAAGCAATACAGACCTTTTGAGCCAAATCTCATTTTGTCACATATTGAAGACATATATAAATGACAGATCTTTGACTGACAGCAGAAAGGAATCTTAGAGGTCATCTCAGTCAGTCCAACCTCCTAATTAACAGATGAAGAAACTGAGGCCCAGGGAGCTGGAATGAATTGCCCACTGGCTCACAGGTAACAGAACTGGGACAGGAAACCCTCTGATTCCGCTCAGAACAAGAGAGGGGCAACAAATATGTGAACTAGTAATTCAAGGAATCATGTTTTCAACTCCAAAATTTTAACATTCTGAGAAAGATAATATAGTACATTTCAGAAGTTGCCTAATAAAATAATTACTTAGATGAAGATCTCCCTGGAATATAACATAAGCTGACTTCATTTAGCGGAGGCACCAAGGCACCTTGGCAGAGAAACAGGAGGCAGTAAAGGCCAGGCAAGTCAGACCACCCAATAACCTTGACGGCCATCCCCCCTCAGATCCTAGTGGAAGCATCCCAGGCTCCTGAACCCAAGAGCCTTGGGGGTAGCAGGGTCCCCAAACCGCCTCACAGCCATCATCTGGGGACGTGGTTCCTACGGTGATGGACGATGGGGCCAGCTATCCCCACCAGTGAAGTAGCAGGGCCCCCTGAGACAGGAGGCAGAATGTGCCAGCCAGCTCAAACCACCAGCACCTCCCCAAAGACCCTGATGAGAGCAGCCCAGGCCCTTGTACCCAAGATCCTTGGGAACAACCAGGCTTCTAGCCCAGTGCCCTCAGCCATCCTCCCGACCCTGTCCAACAGTTCAAATGGTTCTGCATCAAAATGGATATGATTTTACTGGTGGATTTGACATCAAAGAAGAGGCATTTCCATCTGCTTTGCTGTAGCACCCAAGGACCCTGGGATCTTTCCGTATGACTTGCAGCTGAAACCTTCCCTAAAATTCCACTAGAATAGGAGCTCTTGGAGAACAGAGTCTTCCTCTTCTCTTTCTGTCTCCCTGCAGAGTTTGCACATAGTAAGCATTTAATAAATGCTTCATTCCTTCATTCCTACCAATTTCTATTCTATCCCTAGAATAAAATTCGTTTTATGAAGACACGGAAGTAGCTAAACTGTGACCAGACAAAGCAGTTTTTAAGTGCTCTGCAGCGAGGGCCCTCGACCAGTTTCTAGGATGGTGGTGACGACCCTGCAGGGCTTGGCTTGGTCACTATCTTGGACTTGACGCACCTTTCCCTCAGAGCTCAGGTAGCAATGACTTTACACAGTCATATGGTATATTATGATGATCTCTGAGCCTGCCAGGAAGCTCTGAGATGACAGGCATCCCATCCTTATCCACACTCTATTGCCCAATGGCCTACCGCAGTTTCCCACACACAGCAGGTGCATAATGAATGCTTGCTGAATTAATACATGAATAAACTTCTGCCCCAAGAAATAAAAGTCCTGACTTGTATGTGGAAAGTAGCTTTAGGTAACCAAAGGGGAAAAGGGAAGGCTCCCGATGTCACAGACCCAGAGCTGGGCAAGCCAGTCCAACCCCCAGATTTTAGACAGAAGCCAACAGAAGCCCATCGAGGTCAAGTGGCTGTCCCACGCACACCTTCAAGTGGATTCAGAGCCACAATCCGAACCCAGCTCTGTCTCAAAACCTTGTGCTTTTCCCAGCATCTCACATCACCTCACAAACTTATTTCATTATCATAAAAGGTCAAGGGATTCCTACTGATTAAGTAACTGATTCACCGATTAAAGGAATCTCTTTGCATTTTAACTTTCCCCGGTTAAAGTCCAATGCTTAATCCAGGCACGGGGGTGACCCTGCATTCTAGGGGGACACCCCAGAAGAGGGCAAACCCAGTGAGACCTTGCCAGGCTGGAAGGACTTTGAATGCAGGCCAAGGGAGGGGCAGCTGCCCACCAGCAGGGAGGATGCTCCTGACCAGACCTTCACGAGTATCACAGGCAGCCGGCATGCTTACCGCAGGGGAGACAGGAGGGCTCTGAGGGCCTGAAGACCCACACCCTACTGAATGTTGCCTCAGCTGGTTCACAGACTCTCCAGAAGGTTGCATGAACAGAGTAAAGGAAGAACCACTTGAACACAATTTTTATTGAATAATGGTATCAGAGCGGCTAGGCACCTAGTAAGCACTTAGGAATGCTTGCTGACTGACTGCCGGACCACACAAAGCTCTGTTCTCACTTCACAGCGTCACCTTCAAAAGCATCGGGGTATCTGGGAGGGCGGGGCTTCTTCTTCTGTAGGGGGGGAGGGGCGGTGTCTGAAGAGATCGGGGAACTCTGGAAGACGGTTTGAGAAACCAATTCACAGAATCTGAAGGGCTGGCAGCGACCTTCGAAGCCTCCCAGCTGTGCCCGTGGAGTGTGGGATGGCATTTTTCTGGGCTGCTCGGTCTCCTGGCCAGCATCCCTACAGCAAGGACAGGCAGCCCAGATCCAGCGGGGGGGGGTGGGGGGCACAGACACATTCTCTGCTTTCTGAGCAGGGGCCGCCATCTTGCCATCAGCGGGCTGTACCCCCTGTTCTGGCTACGTCAACCACACCTGTTAGGCCGAGTTTCTCCACCTTTGATCCTTCACTCCAGCATTGCTGGACGGTACCAAATGACTCAGAGGCCACACTCCACGGAGGCCAAAGTCAAAACTATGCGGGCTGACTCTGAGCCGGCACACGCTGCAGGGGAAAGGTCCCCGGCCTGGGAGGCGGGGTCACTCAAGTACAAGTTACAGTTCTGCCGCTCAGGACCCAGTGACCCTGGGCAAGTCTCCCGATGTCTCAGGCCTCAGTTTCCTCATATGTAAAGTGGGGAGGGCGATACCTGCAGGTGTCACATAGGGCCTGGACAAAATAAACGTGACCCAGTGAGTAGGGTACCATTACAGGAAAACTCAGATCTGGGAGTTTGGGAAGACGCAGCTGGCACCACTGCCGAGTATCACTGAGCACAAAGGCGGCTGACCCGTACAGAAAACGTGAGGGCCTGTGAAGCTCTGCAGAGCACCCCCCCACTGGGGACTCCTAACGACGCTGTGAGGGGGACGCTGCTGGATCCCCACTTAACCAGTGAGGAGAATGAGGCTGAGAGAGGCCCCCGGACTGGCCCAGGATGCAGCAGGGGCAGAAATGGAAGGGACTCCCCGGGTCCCCGTCGGGCACTCACTCCACTCCCTGCCATCACGTCGTGAGCTCTTGTGGTCAGAACACAGAACAAGGGGCTGCCTCAACAGGCCATTCCTATCTATCTATCTATCTCCTGCTTCCTCTTGGAAGAGATTCAGTACAGTGATGGCTACCCAGCGTATCAGATGTGAGATGGCATGGTGGCAGAAAGGAGACATTTACCCGGTGATATGGGCCTGCTTGAACTGGGAGAAGGCGTGTAAGGGATTGGGCTGGACACAGTGCGAGGTCTTAATCCTTGGGCAGACATTTCGTTAAAATACCTGAAAGAAAACCAAAGAAGATAGTCAGAGGGGGCCATTTCTAACACGGCATCTAGAAATTCTTTAAACAAAACCCTGCAAGGAAACACCCGGGGTTCACAGATGCGGAGACTATATTCCGTTGTTCAGAGACATCTCACATCAGTAAGAGACACCTGAAAATCCCGTTCCCTGATCAGCCAGCCACACACCCACCACATTCCAGCAGAGGGAGCCTGCTTTGGGAAATCCAAAAGTTTTCTTGATCAGCAGGAAGGTTCACCAGCCAAGCCAAGGTGCAGTATAAAATTCAGACCAGACATGGAAAAACTTATATAAAATTACAATTACATCTTAACTCTTCTTCCCGCCCCCTCCCTGACATTAGAGGGCAACCTGATTTAAGTGGCCCTGATTTCAACCATATTATCATTAAAACCACAAACAATCCTGAAAATGCATGGCATGATGTCTATATGAGTTACTCAGTAAATGAGGAATACGCAGATGCAGGTAATTACAGATGAGAAACAATATGAAGGCTTCTGAAGATGTCCCCGAGCTCTCTGGGAAGTCTGCATCACAGCTGTTGAGCGCTTTGGGGCAGTGGGATCTGAGATGGCTATACATTCTAGGCTCTTATTGGGGGGTAACACTCTCTCCCTCCGCCTCCCAGATAAGGGGAAGCCAGGTGTGCTCGATGACCCAAGGATGCCAAGTCCTGACATATTTCATGCCACTGAATATACTTCCTGATCCATGTAAACTCTTTGAGGACAAGGACCACCTCCCCAGTGCCCAGGGCAGTGCCAGCAAGCAGCAGGCACTTAACATAAAATGCTTGTACTCAGTTCGGCACTTAGTTAACATTAAGACAGAATGAGGGTGAGTTAAGGCTCCTTCAGGTAGCACAACTCAGTGAGACCCACAGCTGCTGACTCAGAAGGCAGTCCCCACGGTTTGCCTAAGCTGCCAGCAAAGCTCAAATACCTTTACTGTACCCGGGCATCTGGTTTACAGAATGCCAAATCAGTCGCCCACGGAAGCCACGTGCATCCTAAAGAAAAACAATGTCAGCAGCAACCGGCTTACTTCGTGAACAGTCCACAAGCATCTGCTGACAACCAAGGAGGTCAGAGGCAGGCCAACAGTCCCTGGGTCTTTCCCTTTTCACCCAAGTGAACCTGTGCTCCCTCCAAGATGAAGCTCGCTCCCTGCACCAGGCCCACAACACCCGCCTTTCCTCAAGTCTGGGGAAGTCTCATTCAAAGGTCTCTATGGCACAGGGCGGGGGAAGGGCATTTAATTTTCCTTCTAGTGACTCCCTCATGTATGGCTGGGGGAGAGGGAGGGGACATTTAATTTTCCTGAATCCCTCAAATGCTGTTGCCCTGCCTTCCCCTCCAACTACCTACCTAGTATTTAATAATTCTGCATTTCTTCTGAGTCTCCTTAGAGATATCCTGGCTGCTTCCCCATCAGACAAAAATTCCTTGGAAGCAGGTTTCCTGGCACAGTACCTGGCACCTAGCAGGCTGTTAATAAATGCCTGCAGCTTGATGGGCCGACCTTGCCTAGGGACATTCAGACACTACTTTCTGGGGCCCCGTGTTCCCTGGAGATCTGAGCATGATCTGCCCTTGATCTGCCCGTGGTCACCAGGCCAAGAGAACTGGCTACCTGGGGCTCATGATGATGATGACGACTTTGATAGCTCACATTTCTACACAATTATATAATCATGTGTTTATGTAAGTGGGCGGCTAGGTGGCGCCATAGTGCACAGACACTCTCCTTTCAGAGTTCAAACCTGGCCTCAGACGCTTACTAGAAGATGAAAACAGGGAGACTCAACTCTCGGGGCAACGAGCACAAAGTGGAGGACAGCATGGACAGACGGGCTCAGACACAGGGAGGCATTCCAGGGCCCCACCCCCTCACACAGAGCTTCCTCCAACCCCCTCTCCCATAGCCCCATGTTTCCCACTGGAGAAGGTATTTTCATCTAACTCTAGGGGAAAGAGGAGCCTAACACATACTTCCCAGCGCCCCCCCCGCTTTTTTTTTGGAGGCTCGTGACTTAACTAAGCACACTCCTCCCTCCTCCAACCCAGCCCAGCACCTGCTCTGTGGGGAGGCCAGGACGCACCAGGAAACAGGACCTGACTCTGGGTCTGTCCCCTGCAACCACACGACCTCCCCTTCCTCTCAGACATCCCAACTGTAAGTACCTACTGTGTCGGGCACCTGCACAAACCTCCCCACCTTTCGTCATCCATCTCCAAGCTGGATTCGCTTTCCGAAAGCTGCCGACAAAGGGCCTCTCTCCGCTCCATCTCCCGCTGGAGTTTTCTCTGGAGCCTCAGGTTTTCCTCTCGCATGTGGCGCTCTTCCTCCAAATACTGGGCCATCTTCTCTGAGTCTGAAAAGCAGTGCTTCCCATTAAGACAGGTCTCATGCAGAGGCTAAAGAGAAGCCAGGAGAGTGGGGGATTGTGGGTGGGAAACACAATAAACACCGCAGGACCTGAAGTGATAATGGGGAATGGACAGGGGTTTGTTTTCTTTTCCCTTTTCTTTGTTTTAAGGCAAGGATTTCTTAACCTTTTGTCTGTCACAGACCCTTCTGGCAACCAAGGGAGGCCCGCGGACCCCCTTCTCAGAGGAACACTTTTAAATGTATAAAACACATAGGGTTACAAAGGAAACCAGCTTTGTTGAAATACAGTTATCGGTTTGTTAAAAGTTCACAAACTCCAAATTAAGCACTCCTGATAGCCTTCTGTGGAGGCATAGAGGGCAAATATATTAGGAAATGAAGGTAAAGGAAAAAGAGACAATATCCATTTAAAAAGGAGAATTCAGGAAGCAAAAGGTGTGAATCACAAAGCCACTTTAAGTGACCATACTGCCTCTAGGAGGGGGAAGCCAGGCACTCAGAGAGCAGCACACCCAGCCCAAAGTTCTGACAGTCTGGCTGTCTGCCTCACAGACCCATGTCTGCTGCTGAAGTATCCCTACACAAGGACCAAATCAAACCCAAGCAAGGAGAACAAGCTCATGGGAGAGCAGAGTCCTGATGAAGTCCAGCATTTCTTGAGGATTTCACCTCTGCAACATCTCTTGTGGAGTACACCTCTGCTGCCTCTCTCTGGACTTCACCTCTGCTGCATCTCTCTAAATTTCACCTCTGCAACATCTCTTGAGGATTTCATCTCTACTGCCCCTCTTGTGGATTTCACCTCTGCTGCCCCTCTTGTGGATTTC